GTACATGTGGCTCTGAAGTGAAATTGAAAATGAAAATAAAACTATAATAGTTTTATTTATAAAATTTATAAAGGATATTATTCACATAATGGTGATTATGTAAAAATACATTTATAGCTCTCGAATAATTTTTAAATTGTTGTGAGGGACAGGATTGGCTCTTCCAGGGGTTGGCAAACTTTTGAGACGGAACGTACCCAAAGAGCCGCATGTGGCTCACGAGTCACAGTTTGCCGACCCCTGCTCTAGACCCATGGGCCAAATTCCATCTTTAAAGAGAGATGAAAATGTGGAAAATGGCCAGTGCTTTCTTCTGCTCTTCCCCATATTTCATGAACCACAGAGGCCTCTTGGACTATTGGCCCTTCTCTTTGTAGACCAACTTGAATCTGACCTGGGACACTAAAGCAGGGCCTGCCCAGCGTGCCCCAAGGGGCAGACACCAGCACCTTTTGTAAGTGCCTTCTCACAACTGGTCTACCTTTACTGCTTCCAAAAGACACTGAGAAGCCAGGGCAGCCATGACCACAGAGGACATCAGGGCTACCGCACTGCTCCAGCTCCTGAATTGACCAGGACTCCCTTGAGGTGGCAGGATGTTGTGAAGGTGAACAGATGCCCAGCAGTGCCCTGCCACTTAGGTCGCTGAGCCATTAGGAACAACCACTGAGTAGTCTTAGTTGTTCTTCCTCAGACTTACAGAAATAAACCTGAGTTATGTCCATTAAAAAAAACTCCTGGGGCCTGGAGCTGAGTGGAGCAGTTCAGGAGTGATCGCTGGAGGAGGCTGGGGGCTGATGGCATCACCTCCATCCTTCAGCAGGTTGATGCGGGGAGGGGATTTCAAACACCTGCTCATTCTAGGACATCTGAGAGCTAAAACCCCATTCTCTGGACCAAACAAAACAGGATGTATGACCTTACATCTGGTGTGAACCTGAGTAAAATTAAATAATAACTATGCGTAAGAGAAAAAAGTTCGAATTTCAATTCACTTACTTGATGGAAACCTGCTGAGAGTCTCTGGGGGACAGCTGCCACCGACAGATACATGCCTGCTGCAGGGGGCACCCTGGGAGTCACACTTGGGTAGCAACACATGGACAACTTAAAAAATTTTATTTTCACTTTTTTTGTTTTATGAACTTTCTCTAATGAGGACGTGCTTTTAAAAAATCAGTATGTATATCCATACAATGCAATATTATTCATCCATAAAAAGGAATAAAGTACTGATACCTGCTGCAACGTGGGAAAGACCACATGCTGTACAATTCCATTTATGAAAAGCCCAGAATTGACGAATCCATAGAGACAGAAAGCAGATTGCTGGTTGCCTGCAGCTGAGAGAGGAGGAATGGGAAGTGACTGCTAATGGGGGCAGGCTTCTTTTTGGAGTGATGAAAGTGTTCTGGAATTAGAGTGGTGATGGCCATACAACTCTGTGAAGATACTAAAAACCACTGAATTGTACACTTTAAAATAGTGAATTGTATGGTATGTGAATTATGCCTCCATAAAGCTGCTATTTAAACCAACACATTTTTAAATTTGGGAGTATAGGAAATGTTACATCAGCTTATTAATTATAAAGAATAATAAAATAAAGACTGTGTTATAGAACACTGGGCCCTTATTGTGGGGTCAGAGCGGAGGTGCCCAGCATTTGCCCTCCCAGCCACAGGTGCCTCACTGGGAGCTTCGGAGGCCCACACAACTCCCAACCCATGTGCCTGCCCCCTCACCCTTCCTTCAGGTCCCTGAAGCCTACCCTGCCCGTCTGTCCTCCCAGGACGCTCCCCCTATCTCCCACTCTGCTTTCCCAGTACCTTTCCCCTTCCCTGTGGGATCTGAGTTCCCAGAGGACCTGGGCTCCCTGCTGTCTCGTCTGCCTGCTGGGATGGGCTCCACATAGTGGTCCAGTAAGCCAGTGGCCCCTTGTGGTGAGGAGCTGCCTCCCTGTGCTGTGGACTGTGGGAGGGCTCAAGGGGGTGGTGGGGCTGTGCTGGGTCTGACTGCTTTCTGCCCTCAGCTGCCTGAGCCCACTCAGAGGCAGTATCTGGTGACAGGGCTCCCTCGGGCAAAGCCAGACTTCACTCTTCTGACTGGGGAGCCTGCTGGGGCCTGATGAGCAGAGGCAGAGGGTGGGCCCTTTATCCCTCCTTCCCACTTTCCCTCCCTTCATGAGAGAGCTTTTGTTGAACACTGACTGCAACCCAACACTATTGGTTGTGACCATTATGTCCATCTCACAGATGAGAAAACTGATGACATGATTCTGTCATCTGCTAGGTTCTGGCCCCAGAAGTACATACGTTTGCACAAGGCAGGTATGTGCTTGCAGGCTGGGGCGCCAGGGCAGGCTGGACTTGGGGTGATTTGGGGCTCCCTGGCATTGGAGTCTTAGGTAACCAAGGTGACAGTATGGGGGATGGGAGGGGCACGTGACCAGCTTCGTGGCCTTGAACAAACTACTTAAAGTTGAAAAGTCTCTGTGACATGGAGATAGGTACTCATCTGTGACATGGAGATAATCAATCCACTTGTCCTGACAGCAGTTGAGATGGCTATTCCAGGCAGCAAAGAGAGGTGTTGTCATCATCAGCCTGGGACACACAGTTTGCAGAGTGTCTTCTATAGACCTGGCTCATGCTAGCTTTAAGATAACCAGTAAAGCAGATGGGCAGTGCTTGTTCTCCCCAGGGAGATGCAGGCTAAGGATACACAGTGATCCTGGCAAAGTTCTGGTCTCAAGGTCTGTTCAAGGACGCCTCAGGCTTCCCCTTCCTGGATCTCAAGACCTGCTCCAGAGCCCAGCCCAAGGTTTCTCGCGAAAGGGACTGTGATCTCCACTGGCTGCTTAGCTGTGCACTCCAATGGTCATGGGTCAGCAGAGTAAGCTCCCTATCTTGAGAGGCATGTGAGCAGGGCGCCTGAAACCATCCCTGAGGGCTCAGAGTGCACATAGCACTCAATCAGGGCAGCTTCTCTCCGCTTTCCCAGGGCCTAGGCTGCCCCTGTGATGTGTGGGGATACTGCTGCCATACTATACACATCTGTGAGCTGTGGATTGGCAGCAGCCCATAGGCAATAAGGTGAAGGCCAGCTGCCTCCTCCATCACCAGGCAGGCACAGTGTCCACATGCCACCAGTGTGTCCTTTTGGGAGCAAGGAGGAAGCCAAACTGGTGTGCATCTGTCTGGAACATGCCTAACTTCACCCCTTCTCAGTTTTTCCTTGGAGAGGCCTGGGCACTCCTGTCATAGGTTTGGGACTCAAGTGCCCTCATGGACTGACTGAATCTTAGAGAAATTGGCAGCCTTTCAAGGGGGCAAACAAGGATGGTCAGGCTGGTTCTTCAGGGGAGATACTCAGGCTCGGTGAGAGTGGGACTTACCCAAGGTCACACAGGTGGAAGGCCAGGCTGGGGTCTCTAGCCTCCACAGGGAAGACAGAAAGATCCTTACCCCACCACTGCCTGGAAGGCCCCCATTCTGGAGGCTCCCGCTCAGATCCCCACCTCAAAGGGTCTCCCCAGGCTGGCAGAGCTGGTGTCTGCTGTTGTCCCTTCCTTGTCTGGACTCTAAGTTGAACACCTATCCCACAAGTAGATGTGAGGACTGCAGCCTGTATTTAGCAGGCATGTGTCAAATGCCTAGCCCAGTGCCAGCATGCTGTGGAACTATGACTCTGTGGGGAGAAGTCCTGATCTGTGGCATCTGCCCATTTCCATGGTGTAAATGTCAATTCTCCCAATATTGCCAGGCGTCACTGAACAGAGCTGGGAAAAGATACCAGCCCTCACGAGTCAGTCTCTGCTGGTTCCAGCACCCACTGCCAGAACCCCGCAGGGCCTCAGGAAGTCCTGCTGCTCTGGTAAGTCACTTGGCACCCACTCCCCTCTAACTGTGATGGTTTGATATCGCTTGAGTTACTTTGTGCCAGGGTCTTCAGGTCCAGCAGCCCATGGGCACACCATGAGTCTGAAAGTTTCTGTGTGCTTGACAGTGTGCAAGGCTCAGGGGCAGGGACAAACATGAGAACAGCCTGGATCTTCCCTGGGCCAGTTGCCTGCCTGTGCCTCCGTTTCCTCCCCAAGGTGGGCTGATGACTATACATCACAGGCTTACAAAGGACAGGGTGAGAGGTGTGAGCTCAGTGCCTTGCATGGAGTAGGGCTCAGAAACTAGTAGTCTTTGTCCTATGCCACCTCCCTGCAATAAGGTTCAAGATGTCCAGGAGAAGGGCATGGCTGTGGGAGTCCAAAGGAGGAAGGGGCAGGGAGAGATGGGGGAGGAAGGTGGCATTTAACAGAGGTGGGTGAGGAAGAACACCGTGGGCCATGGGACTTCTGGAAGGTCTCCACACCCCTATCCACTGACATCTCAGTTCAGCCTGTTTGAGGAGCTCTGGGATTTAGGGCAGATAACTTCTGCCTTTGGGGCCTCAGTTTGTTCAACTGCAAAATGGGAATGACGATTGCAGTACTGTCCCCCCCCCCTCCTCCGCGCCCTCAAAGGTGGTAAGGTCCTGTTGGATCCTGATAAAGTGAGAGAAGGGGACTCCACCCCGCAACCAGGCTTAGCCCCTGTTGGGATGGGGTTGGGGCTCAGACTTCTTCTTGAGGTCTTCCTGAGGGTGGGGAGACCAAAGGCCCTGGGTCTTAGTCTTCCAGCCTGCCCATTCTGCCCAGGCACAGGGCTCAGAGCTCTGGCACACCTGCTGGGTTAGGCGAGGTGGTGAGCCTGTGCCTCTTCTCGGGGACACATGGGGCCCTCCGCGGCCAGTAGCCTCGCGGGGCAGTCCAAAGAGTCTCGGGGGCCAGGAGTGCCACCTGGTGTGGGAGCCTCAGGGACGCTGTAGGCCTGCGCGGCTGCGGGGCGGTGACCCGAGCCTGTGCCTCCGCCCGAGAGCCAGCCCGCAGGTGGCCGCGCGCGCCCGCGGCCAGATGGGCGTGCCAGGCCCCGCCCCCGCCGCGCCGGCCAGGGGCGGGCAGCAGACGCCCCGCCCTCCTAGCGCGCCGGGTCCGAGCGTGTGCGGAGAGCAGCGGCGTTGAGCCCGAGCAGCACGCAGGAGCCGGGACCCGCAGAAGGCTGTTCCAGGGAGCAGCGCCGCGACCCGACCCAGAGAGCGACCCCGGCCGGGAGCGCGGCCTCGCCCGCTTCGCCCGTCCCGGCCGCCGGGCTGCGGGCATGGACGGCGCCCGCTGGCCCTGTGAGTGCTGAGCCCCCCGCCCGCCGCCTTTGTTGCGCGCCGTGTTGCCGCAGCCCCATCCTCGCGTGCCCCTCCTGGGCCCCCGGCCGCGTCCTTTGTGGAGCCGCCGCCTGGCCGGTGTCTCTGTCTCCCGCAACCTCCCTGTCCCCTCTGCAGCCTCACCTGGGGCCCCCAGGGACAGCCCAGCAGGCCCCCTCCCCCAGGGCTGAGCAGGGTACAGCCCCCTCCCCCAACCCGGGACTCGGGGTCACGTCTGTAGCCCCCTCGGGTGGGACAGCCCAGCAGGCCTCTCTCTGGCCAGGCGGGCAGGGTGGGTCGGGCGCGGGCCTCGCGGCGGCGCTGTCTCATCCCACCGCCTGGGCAGGTGTGGCGGGGCCGGCGCTCACGCGGGCCTGTGTGTCCTTGTCCGCAGAGATGGACGGCGATGGCGGCCGCCTAGACGCCCCCTGCGCGCTGATCTTCCTGCGGCGCAGCGTGGTGGAGTCGGACCAGGAGGAGCCGCCGGGCCTGGAGGCGGCCGAGGCGCCGGGCGCGCAGCCTCCTCAGCCGCTGCAGCGCCGGGTGCTGCTGCTCTGCAAGACGCGCCGCCTCATCGCTGAGCGCGCCCGCGGCCGCCCTGCCGCCCCTGGGCCCGCCGAGCCCCCCACACAGCCCAGCGCCCCTGACCCAGAGCCCGCGGGTGCGCAGGAACCTGGCCTGGACCCTGCGCCCGTCCCCGACGGCGGCCCCCGAGAGGAGGCGGCTGTAGCAGAGAGGAAGGAGGACGCCGGGGGGCCCGAGACAAGGCCTGATCCCGGGCGCGCACGCCGGGACGAGCCCGAGGAGGAGGAGGACGATGAGGATGATCTCAAGGCTGTGGCCACCTCCCTGGACGGCCGCTTCCTCAAGTTCGACATCGAGCTGGGCCGCGGCTCCTTCAAGACGGTGTACAAAGGGCTGGACACGGAAACATGGGTGGAGGTGGCCTGGTGCGAGCTGCAGGTGAGGGGCACGCTGGCCACTGGTGGGCAGTGGGCGAGTGCTTCCTGCGTGTTCCTGTACCTTCGCGGGTCCTGCCTAGCCTTAGGCAGCCTTGGGGCGTCCCAGTGTCGCCCTCTGTGTGGGTGGGGCCGGCTGTGCAAGGGGGCAAGGGTGGGCTGTGTGTGGCACAGATTGGGTGGTGGAGGCGAGGCCTCCTGGCGTGTGGCATCCAAGTGTGGCACAGTGTGGCCCAGGCTGGAGAGTGGGCACTTGGAGGGTGTGTCTCTCAGAGCCGCTCCTTCTTGACTCCTCATCCCGGGGCTGTACTGACCCAGGCTGCTTGGACCCTAGTGTCTTTGCAGAAGCAGTATGGGGGCTTCGGCCCTGTCCAGATCATCTGGTGGCTTGTGAACTCCGATCTACTCTTAACTGAGCACCTTCCCATGTCTTGCAAGGTGTAGGTTCCCCAGTTCGGGGTTCCTGAGGAGCTTCGTCTGACCCAGGGTCTGTTTAAGGTGGGGCCTGGTGGGCCCTGAGCCTGTGGGCAAGGCGTTGAAGTGCTGACTGGCTTCTGGTGCTTCCTAAGCCCGTTGGTCACAGAATGGATGTATGAGGTCTTAAAACCATGTCATGCAAAATGAAGGTGGGTGGGTTTTTTCTGGATGCAAAGGCTCTGGGCATGCATTTTTCATAACCTTGCCCTTAACGTTGGCTGTGTCAGCCCTAGCCCAGGAAGATTATATAAACCGTAACCCGAGCTGTCCTGGGCCAGCCATGGAAGCTCTGGCTGTGCCTGTCACAGCGGGTGTTTACTGTCCAGCTCTCTTTGGGGGGGGGGCAGCTGTCTAGCATGGGGCTGGCCTCAGGGGTGTAAGCCTACCCCAGAGCCTTGTAAAGTTAGCCAGGCCTTCCAGGCCTGACACAGGGCTACCCGCCACACTGCAGGCTGCCTGCCTTTTTGGCTCAGAAACGAGATTTGGTTGCTCTGTCTCCCAGGCCCCCGCTGGGGGGGCTTGCGCGCGCGCGTGTGTGTGTGTGTGTGTGTGTGTGTGTGTGTGTGTGTGAGAAAGAGAGAAAGAGAGAGAGAGAGAGAGAGAGAGAACGCGCACGCGCGTGCTGGGCTAATTTGGTGGTGCTGACCTGTCCTCAGCCTTTATCCTGAGACAAAGAAGTCTAGAGGTCACCGCTCCCTGAAGCCCCTTGGTTCTGCCATGGAAATGTGGGCATCCCAGGGAGTCCTTCAGGAAGAACTGATAGCTCATCTCCCTCACAGCCCTGCTGAGAGATGGCCTGGGATCCCTGGGGTGTGCTTGGGATGGCATGGGAGCGAGTGGGCACTACTGCTGTGTGAGGACGCAGTGGGGAGAGAGGATCCACACAGGGCAGACCGGCGGAGGACAAGAGGGTTCCTGCTTCTGGAGCGTGGCCTTGTGCCTTCCCCCCCCACCCCCATCCCCCTCTCACTCTTGCCAAGCGACTGGTGTGGCAGTCCACACACCCACTGGCGCTCTGCTGTGGAGTGCATGTACAGGGGAAGTACACGAGTGGGGTGCAGCAGCAGACAGGATCTGGGTTAGGCCTCGGCAGCGGAGCCCTGGGGATCTGGCCGAGGCATTGCAGGTGCTGTGACCCTTGGAGGAGGAGGTTGTTACTTCCCATTCCCTTTAAGGCAAGACAAGTGGTTCTGCCTCCAAGTCTGTAAGCAGAGCTCACAGGGGTGGAGACTGCCTCAGTCCAGGGGCCTTTCACTTGATTCTGGGTGGTAGTGGAAAGACCGGAGATGGCTTCCTGTGACCAGGAGTTACTGGGAGCCAGCAGGGAAACCATTTCTGTATTTCTCCCAGTAAGAGGATACTGTTAATGTTTGCCTAGGGCCGATGTGCAGCATTTAGGGTCAGCTGCCTTCTGCTGAGAGGGCTGAGAGGTACCAGCTTAGGATAGCAGCTGAGAACCTGCTGTATGTCCAGCCTCCTCCTCACTGATCAGGAGGCTGCTGTTTCTCCCACTTTATTCTTGAGGCCCCCCCCCCCAGGTCACCGGCAAGGACATAGATGGCAGAGGGGGATTGCAGTACCATGGGAGGAGGCCCCTGGCATGGTGTGGCCGTCCATATAGGATTGGAAATGAGTGTGGAGGGGAGGGTACAGGGTAGTCCTCTCAGACCACTGCATTGGGCAAGGGTAATGGGTGGTATGCTAGCTCTGTGCTTGGGGAGGGGTTCATAGTGTGGAGATGTTCTTCTTCCACCTGGGGGCCCTCAGGATTTCCAGGCATCAGGGCTCCCATCCAGTGGTGGGCTGGTCACCTGGAGCGATGCCTTCAGTGCAGGGAGCTTTGTGGGGTTCCTCCTGCCCTTAGACCCTCTTCCAGAAGTGCCGTGGCCAGCAGCTTTGGAAGGCCCCGAAAATCCACCCTCTGGAGTCTGTTTCATTCTCCCATCCTTGGGATGCAGGGGGGTGTTGGCATCTGTCGGTCTCTCAGAACTGAGACAGCATGACCTGCTCACTTTTTCTGGGGTTCCCTGCCAAGAAAAGGAAAGGCCGCATTTCTGGATTTCTAGACCTTGAATCTGGCTTGGAGGACGTCAGATCCCCGTGACTTCCAATTTCCTTCCTATTCGTGTAGAAAGAGCTTTGCAGAGAGAGCAAGATGTGTTCATCTCATAGCAAAGGGCAGTGAGAGGTATCACCTCCTGAATAATCCAGCCGTCCAGAGATGACACTCATTTTGCAGGAAAGCCATTTTAAAGTGTTTCCTCCCTGTTTCTTTTCTTTTGAATGGACTTTTATTCCTGGCCTCAGAACATGTTACAGTAGCAGTGGAGGAGGTGCGAACTCACCCAGGACCACTGCCCTTCCTCTGGTCATGTTTTCCATGTCCCGGTGTTCTTTGGCCAACTCTAGTTCTGCACAGATCCGGTCCTGTCAGATAGTGCTCTGGGAGCTGAGCGCTTATCATTGGCTCTGGGCTGCCTCGGGTGCAGGGCAGGCCTGGACCCCTGACCTGTGCCAAGCGGCTCAGGGCACTCTCCCACCTGCTGCCACCTCTGTGCCAGCCTGAGTCCTGAGTAGAGAAAACGTAGCCAGCGTGGATCTGGCCAGCATCCGGAAGCCTAGTTGGAGGTGTCCTGTTGGCCTTTTCCTGGACCACCTGCTTCTTCCGTGTCTACCTCGGGAACTTGGAGAAAGCCTGTTTCAGCCCCTGTGCATATACTGCCCCTCCTGTCAGTAGCCCTTTGCCTTCAGGGGAGGTGGGGTCTTCGGCCTTCTGTGCTGCCTCCCCCCACAGAAGGTTCCTGTGAGCTGCTGCTGCAGGGCTGGGCACTGTCTCCTGGGTGCATCCCACCTGGAACCCATTTCCCACGCTGGTGTCTGGGCCCATGCCCAGCTTGGGGGTCATTCTGCTTCATGGGTGGCAGTCCTTAACCCTTTGCTCGAGCACTTGTAAGGCCCTCACAGGGTACCACGGGCTGAACCCCACCACTGTGGACAGGTCCTGGGTCTCCCAGGTGCTGTCATGAAGCTGTCCTGCTTTTTTACGCTGCCTGGAGGCAGCTGGGCTCCTGTGGAGTGGCGGTGGCCTGGGCTCCAGGCTGGGGAGGGGCTTGCGGATGTGAGGACCACAGGACCCGATAATTTGTGACCTGCTGGTATTCTCTTTATGGGGCCACAGAGGCACCATGTTTTCCTAACTCACCTGCCCCAGCCAGAGTCTGTGTCCCGTTCACCTGTCTGTGCCCCAGAAGTGGAATACGCACATGGGGGCTTGCTGTAGGCGGCCATGCTGACTGCACTGGTCCGCTCGTCCTCAGAGAGTGGCCGGTCTGCCTGTGGTCGGTGCAGCCCAGCACCCTGACCTGTGGCCGAAGCTGCTCCACTTATACCTGCCCTGAGCTCACACACCTGACCTTGCACAGGCCCACCATCCTTCCCAGACAGCCAGGCACACACCCTGCACGACTGGGCAGCCTTGGGCTGGGGTTGGGAGGTACCTCCAGTGGCCTTGTCTGCTTTCTGAGGGGCCTGGAGCAGTGGATGTGGGGAGGGGATGGATGTGCTGAGGGGGACAGCACCTGCATGTTGGAGCAGGACACTTAGGGCTGGAGTCAATTTGGCAGGCGGTCCCCTGCTTTTTAGTTTTTGGGTTTTTTTAAGATTTTATTAGGGAATTTGGGGAAGGGAACAGCATTGGGGAATTGGGGAAGGGGAACAGACAAGTTGCTGTCCTTTTGTTCTTCAGTCTAGTTGTGGAGGACGTCGCTTTGCTGGCCCATGTTGGTATTATCATTGCGCTTTTCCTGGGTGAGGCAGCCACTCGTCAGCCATTGGATGGCTGCTCATGGCGGCGGCTCACGGCAGCTCACGAAAGTGCACACCAGCTGCCGGCCAGCCCCGCTGCAGCCTACGCCGTCGCCCGCAACTCATGGCAGCCCAGCTCCAGGTCGAGCTGTTGTTCACCATCTTAGCTGTAGAGGGCGTAGCGTCACTGGCATTCAATGTGGGATCCGAAACGGGCCCTGCTGCTTAGAGCTGGCGTCCCAAACCAACTCCTAACCAACGTGCCACTCGGCCGGCCCCCCTGCTTTTTAATTTTTGTTACTCTCCTAAGAGCTTAGTTTTGTTGGGAGAGCTGTATTTTGAAATCAGTGTGTTGCCAATACTGACTTGTTTTCTTAAGTGACACCATGCGCCATGCCAACCATGGTTCTGGCTTGGTTGGTGAGAAAGGTTGGCACCAGCTGCCTAGAAGTCTGTGAAGATGGCTCTCCTGCCCAGCACCCAGAGGCCTCGCCCATGCCCCTGGGTGGTGTCAGACAGATGGATGTGGTCAAGCAGCCTGAGCTGCCGGTCCCCGCCACGGGCACATTGGGCACTTGCGGCCCCTTACCTGTTGGAAGCAGGTGCTCCCAAGGCCGAGCATGTGCTTCTCTGGGTGTCCTCGAAGCCCTGATGTGTGGGGTGTGACTCAGGCCCGAATCGCCCAGCAACTTGGGCCCCAAAGGGAGGACACCTAGCCCATCT